AGGCAAGAGAATCGCTTAAGCCCAAGAGTTTGAGGTTGCTGTGACCTGTGACACCATGGCACTCTACTGAGGGTGACATAGTGAGACTCTGTTTCAAAAAAAAACAAAAAACCAAAAACAACCTAGTGAGAGGTGCCATTACCTAGTTCAAATATCTGTTTTTTACAATAAGAACCAAAGTCACCACCATAATTAGAATTCAGTTTTCTGAACATGCATTTCAATTGAAATTTAGCTCTTTGAAAATCCCCTTTTTTTTATTGTTTTGTAGAGACAGAATCTCACTTTATTGCCCTTGGTAGAGTGCCATGGCATCACACAGCTCACAGCAACCTCCAACTCATGGGCTTAAGCAATTCTCTTACCTCAGCCTCCCGAGTAGCTGGGACTATAGACCCCGCCACAATGCCCAGCTATTTTTTTGTTGTTGCAATTTGGCTGGGGGCGGGTTTGAACCCGTCACCCTCAGTATATGGAGCCGGCACCCCACCCACTGAGCCATATGCGTGCCCAAGAGATTGGCTGTTTTAATAATCAAAAATCCAAAGCTGTACTAGACAGATGATTTTAAAAGAGTAGGAAGGAGTAAGAGTTTTGAGTAGATACCTTATAATACCTTATTCATACTTATGGGAGCAGATGGTATATGATACAGAATGAAAGGGAATGGAATTATAAATCAAGGAGGAACAGTTGCAAGGCAGGTATTTGAAAGGCAGATGTCAGGAGGGAGGGAGAAGCAGCAGTAAGGGAGATGTCAGCAATAAGCGCTAAGTTGTCAATGCCAGGGCCAGTCAGCTCACCTCCAGGGAAGCATGGCCAGCAGAGGCAGAGCCAGGGCTCCGCATTTAAGCAGGGTAAGTGGAGGTGAATTTGCTGGTTACTGGATTATAATGACTTTGCTGAATTTCTGCAGTCATACAGAGTGGAGAAGTTTTAAGATTTGGGGTTTGGGGCACAGGTGAGGGGGCATGTGTGAGAGTACAGGTGTCTGCTCACGTATCCAATGTATACAGGTGTGTGTATGAAAAATGATCCAGCTTGGGCGGGTGCGGCGTCTATGGCTCAAAGGAATAGGACGCTAGCCCCATATACTGAAGGTGATAGGTTCAAACCCAGCCCCAGCAAAAAAAAAAGAAAAAGAAAAAGAAAAATGACCCAGCTGGCTGACTAACAAATGCTGTGACAATTTCAAGAAATTCGACGTTAACTCAAAATTCTGATAGGACATCAGGCTACCCATTTCACTACTCTAACTTTAAAATGATGAATTCTCAATTCTATTACATATACACAAGAATCAACATAGCAGAAACGGAGTGGACTGGGCAGGGAGTCCACTTGACTTTGGGAAAACCATTGTTTTTTCCCCGGATATTAAATGTATTACCCATATAACAAAGAAGTGGTACTGCAGTAATAAAGAGGCCTATAGTGACAAACTCAATAAAGGCAGTAATAAAGAGGCCTGTAATTACAAACCCAATACATTTTTATGTAAAAATGTATTTTTAGATTTTAATAAACCAGGCATTTGTTAGGATGCTTTTGAAATTTGGGTCTGTTTTTTAAACTGACAGGTCTACAGGTATAGTTACTACTGATCCATTTCCAAAATTAAAGGAACTAGGTGAAAAATTTGTAAAGCCTACTTTTAGCCAAATAAGCTTTCATGAGGGCAAAGTTTAAGAAATATATATTTCCCTAAGTAAATAAAAGCCTGGTAATTGGCAAGGTGTCCTACAGGTAAATTTGAAGTATTTTAGGATAAAAGCTGATGCTACTATCAAAAGAAAAAAAGATCTAAGAAAACCTAAAACCACTCACTGGGGAACAGTTTTGTTTACAAACTTGGAACAAATACATTTATTTAGTGAAAAGATACCAATTCACACTTGGGAAATCTGAACTAACGGTGGTGAATATGAAAGTTAAAATTATTTTTCAAGATTTAAAAGGGTAAAAAAAACAAGATTTTTTTTAAATTTTTTTTTTCCAGTTTTTGGCTGGGGCCAGGTTTGACCCCACCACCTCTAGTATATGGGGCCAGCGCCCCACTCCTTGAGCCACAGGCACCGCCCCCAATAAACCAAGATTTAAATGTTAGCACATTTGGGGGGCAATGTCCAAAGGACTTGTTTTCCTGGAACCAGCACACAGTCAACTCTGTCAACAATTTAATGACAGATCTTAAGTGAATTACTTAATTCTCTTTGTCCATGAAGTGGGTTAATTCTGCCATAAATCCCCCATTGGGTTAGAAAAAGGATCAATACATTAAATACT